TTAACCATCTGACCCTACCTCTCTCCCTAGAACTTTAGGCTAGACTTCTAGATGGTTCCATCCACACCAATCCTACCCCGGGGGCGGATTTTTAGAGGAAAAAAAGCACTGCCCTGACAAGAGGCAATATCTTGGCTTAACAGGATTTGCCAATAACAAGTTGAGTGACTTCAGGAAAATTCCATTTTGTCTTAGTTTTCTACATCTATAAAATGGTGATAGTGTCAGAAAGATAAAGTTCTTCATTGCACATTATAAAAGTCAAAATAATCCAGGTAACATATAGTCTTAGGTTCTTGGAAAGTAGGAATCAGAGTCATAAATGATACATTTCAATGCTCTAATTGGTTTTTATATGAAAGCACAATAGATGGTTTACATACTCCAAATAGCATTACTTCCAACTGCAGGCCTTTCTCAGATGGCTGCCATGTTCTTTACAGGATTGGAGATCAGCTTTTGCTGTTGAAGTAATATTTGAGAACCTCTGGATGGACAGAAAAAAAGTTCAGCACTTTGGTAGGTGATGTCAGAAATCCTGTGGACAGCAGATTCATGGGCTAGCATCTATAGAGAGAGTCCATCTAAAGTCCATTTTGATAACTGCAAGTTGACTATATAATATAAACTCTGTAAAATTTGTTGACATTTTATCATTTTTAATAGGATTTTTGTGACTTTTTCATGTTTTTTAAAAAAACAGTTATTTTCTGCTTTGGAGGTCTACTATTCTATATTTACCTACTAAATCAGGCTTAACTGTATTTTTCTGATTTTCCATATCCCAAGCAGATTTTTGCTAGCTTGATTTTTTTTTTTCTGTAAGAGGTGTGTCAAAATACCCAAGGTTTATAGTAATTTGTCAATTTCTCCCATTCTAAACATTTTTCATTTATAGATTTTGAACACAGGATATTGAAATCTAATGGTGACTTTTCCATTAGATTGGTGGGGAAAAACACCTAATTGCAGTGGATTCAAGAGAATGGGAATTGGAAACATCTCTTAAAGACAATTTTTTAAGGAGTTTTGCAATAAAGAGAATCAGAGAAATGGGGTAGTAGCTTGAGAAATGGGATGAAGGACAAAGGGATATTTTATAGAAGATACTACAGCATATTCATTAGTATGTTGATGATTCGGTATGGAATGAAAAACTGGTAATACAGAAGAGAGAGAAGAATGCCCTCATGTGTGAGAAAGGGGATACAATTCAGGGTGCAAATGGAGAGTCGTCTTAAATAGGAACTGAGGCTGTTCATTCAGAATGGGAAGTAGAGCATACAGATTCCAGTGGAGAAAGGTGGGCAGATGGACTTGTAGGACAGTATAGTTCTCTTAGTTCTCTTTTCTCATAGAAAGCAAAGTCATCAGCTGTGAGTGAAATGGGAGAAAGAGTTGTCAGAGGCTTGAAGAGTGAGGAGAAGCTGTGAAATTGTTAAAAGAATGTATGGACTAAGCAAATGTAGTAGGATAGCTGGGCAGCATTAAAGGCCCACTTGACCTTAGTGGTCATAAATTGAAAGTGAGACCAATCATCATGGCCATGTGTTTCTCTCAGGCCACATCTACTACACAAGTGCAAGCACAGAACAGGCAGAGAATTGGATTCAACCAGGTTTGGTGTTTTATCGGCAGAATATAACCAAGTGAGACATGGGCAAGAGAGTTGACAGTATATGCAAAGGACTAACCATAGTGATGAGCCATGGCCTCTAAATTGGATGAGGAGGTAACTGAGAACATCAGAAAGTGAGAGTCAGGGCAAGGGTGACAGAATCAATGGATCAGGGAATATTTGGGAGAGCACTAGGGCCCTGATACTTTGTGTTCCCCAGACAAAAGGTAGGAAAGCAACTCAGAGGAGGAGCCTCTCCAAACATGGTAGGTCACCCAAATGTGTCCCTGTCCTAATCCGAAGAAACTGAATGTTACCTCATACAGCAAAAGGGACTTTGTGAATGTGATTAAAGATCATGATGTAGGGAAATTATCCTGGATTATCCAGGTGGGCCTGATTTAAGTCCTCACATCAGTCCATAGAAGAACACAAGAAGACTCAGTACAAGAGAAGGTAATGTGATGACAGAAGCAGAGATTGGAGTCAAGCACTTTGAAGATGGAAGTAGAAGCCACAGCCAAGGAATAGAGGCTATCAAATGTACTTTGAGAAAGACAAGGAAACAAATCCTTCTCTAAGCCTGCAGAAGGAACCGGCTGCTCTGATGCCTTGACTTTAGCCCAGTGAAACTGATTTCAGACTTCTGACCTCCAGAACTGTAGGAAAAGAAATTTGTGGGGTTTTTTTGTTTTTTGTTTTGTTTTGTTTTTTGTCACTAGGTTTGTGGTAATTTATTACAGCAGCATTTGGAAGCTAATACACTAACGAAGGGGGAAGATACAGAGGAGAGGTCCAGGCAACAGTTAACTCCCAAAATAAATCTGAAGGGAAGGTCCTGGGGAGAGTTGGGAGTGGCCTTGTGCCCCTCAGGAAGGGGTGAAGGTAATGAAGGAGCAGCCTGGGAGAATTTTGTTGCTCTCCCCTTGAAGGCTGTAATAATTAAAAGGGTCTCAAGGGGGCAGGGTTTGTTTCTCTGGTAAATTTATTGTTTTTTTTTTTAAGATTTTATTTATTTATTTGACAGAGAGAGAGAGAACAAGGAGGCAGAGAAGCAGGCAGAGGGAGAGGGAGAAGCAGGCTCTCTTCTAAGCAGGGAGCCCGATGCCGAGCTCCAATCCCAGGATCCTGGGATCATGACCTGAGCTGAAGGCAGAGGCTTAACCAACTGAAGCCACCCAGGCGCCCCTTCTCTGGTAAATTTATGATACACAGTAAGTACTATTGTATTTTTAAAAGCAAACTGTAGGCCCATATATATGGCATGACCCCATGTTGTTTAAAAAGTATGTGTGTGCATAAATAGTTGCCTGTGTACATTTAAGAAAGAGTTCTGAATGTCGCGAGACTGATTACTTCATCTCAGTATCTTTGCTCCAATAACCCCTATTTAAAACTGCAAAGCAGCGGTGCCTGGGTGGCTCAGTCGGTTAACTGTCTGCCTCCGGCTCAGGTCATGATCCCAGGGTCCTGGGATGGAATCCCAGATCAGGCTCTCTGCTCAGTGGGAAGCCTGCTTCTCCCTCTGCCTGCTGCTCCTCCTGCTTGTGCTCTAATAAATAAAATCTTAAAAAAATAAAACTGCAAAGCATATCTCAACACACACCAACACCCCTTAATCCTCCAACTCGGCTATACTTTTTCTGTAACACATATCACTTTATAACACACTATACCATTTATGTATAAACAAGTATTGCTTCTTTGTCCCACTAAAATTTAATATCCAGGGCGCCTGGGTGGCTCAGTCGTTAAGCGTCTGCCTTCGGCTCAGGTCATGATCCCAGAGTCCTGGGATCCAGCCCGAATCGGGCTCCCTGCTCAGCAGGAAGCTTGCTTCTCCCTCTCCCTCTCCCCCTGCTTGTGTTCCCTCTCTCGCTGTGTCTCTGTCAAATAAATAAAATCTTAAAAATAAATAAATAAATAAATAAATAAATAAAAATTTAATATCCAGTGATTTTTAAGTTCCTGGAACATAGCAGGCCCTCATGTTTGCCAAATGCATGAACTTTGGAGCCGAACTGGTGATGCTGAGTAGCATATATTCGTTTAAGGCAAAGACAAAATTAGAGCTGATATTTACGTTCTTTTCACGCCAGTAGGACTTCAGCAAAATAAAAAACCCTTTAATGAGTATTCCTAAAATAATTCTTACGCGTTTGTTTAACAACAGCAACAAAAAAAAGTAAGGGAACTTGAACAAATTAGCCTCTAACCTCAAAGAACAGCGAACAAGCAGACGCCAGCGTAAAGCAACAACCCTCGGCGTCACAGCCCGCCAAGCCCGGACCAGCGCCGGAAGCGTGCGTCGGAAATGGGCGTGGCCATCCCCCAGCTTTCTGGGACTTGTAGTTCCGAGCCCGTAGGAGCGGGTGCGGGTCAGTGTCGGGAGTCCTGCTTTTCCAGGTATCGTATTCCACGTGGGAGGTGAGACGCGCGGGACAGGAGAGCCAGCGCCGCGGGCAGGGAGGCGTCTGGTGGTTGGGATGTGGGAGTGCCTCGGGGGAGGTGCAGGGCCGCTGAGATCCGGAAACCTGGTTGGGCTGCAGTGGGAGGGCGCGCGACCTGCAGGAGGTGCGGCCCGGGGTCGCACGTGCGTCCGAGCGTCGCGACCGCCGCTCTGTCCGCCGGACCTGACTGTGATCACCTGAGTCTAAGCGCCCCCAGCGCAGAAGTGGCTGCGGCTCCGAGGGATCCATCCTTCGCCCGGCTGAGCTCTGGCTTTGGCCGGCCTGGAGGCTTCGTAGTTGGTCGCACCGGCCATTTCTGTGCCGGTGACTGGCCTTATTCCACGGTTTTCGGTGGACGTTAGGCGACCTAGAGGGGCCTCTTTGAGGGACCGAGGTTTCTGTCCCCACAACACTGTCCTCCCACCCCAGAAATGAGGCAGGTCAGGGAAGGCACCTCAGGGAGTCGAAATCCATTCTGAGGCAAAGCATCCAAGCTGAGAGCTCCTACTGGTCTTTCTCGAACTTTAGGGCAGAAATCAGAAACCCTGAGGAAATTGACACATCTTAGTGTTGCTGGGGGCAGCGGAATTTATTCACCCTCATGGGTCTGGCGGGGAGGCTTGGACTGTTTAATCCAAAACCCTGTGGAGAGAGGCGAGGAAGGTGCAGCCTGGGGGAGACTAGGAAGGCATCTCAGGAGAGCGTGTGAAGGGTTGACTGAAAAGGGGTTAGTAGCAGGAGCAGAGTAACTTTTTTCCTACAGTCTTGCTGGACTGGCTACTCTGTATCCTGCAAGGTGGACTTGATATTCATGGCTTTTTCTCTTTCTCTAACTCTACTTTTCCAGGATTCTGTCCTTCCTGAGAGGAGGAAATGACCAAGTTCCAGGTGAGTTGGGGTTTCTTCTCTGAAAATGCCATCTCTTTGAGAATGAACATAACCTTTCTTGCTTGGAACAAAGGAAGAACATCAGCATTAATTGACACCTATCTGGTGTCAGGTCCTGTGTTTGTTCTGTACTTTATTTTTATTGTCAGACTTCAGTGTGAGACATACATTTTATAAATATGGGTGTAAGAACATTAATATACTGAGGACATGTAGCTATCAAATGATGTGGCCAGAGTCTGCACATGTGGCTGCTTACTTTAAATTCCACATCATTTTTACTGAACCACCCTCCCTCTATGAACTTGGCCCACTCCCCAAAGCACTCAGCTATTCTATTGAAACTCCACACAGCATCTTTGCCTGGTTCTCTCTCAAAGTCACCCTTTTCCTGCCAAGACATTTCACTCATATTAAAAGTTATTCAGTTATCACATGCTCTGGCCAGTGTTCAGTAGTCTCAGGAAAACAAACAGAATTATAAATTATGGTGCTTTTCTTCATGAGCAGATTCCATGTATGAAAAAAATAAAATACACATATTAACAATAACCATTTATTAAACATTAAAAAAATTTGTTAAATGCCAGCACAGTAGTTACCAAATCAGTCCCAGAAATGCTTCTTAACCAAGATATTCATCAGAGTTATCTGTGGTGTTTTTTAAGAATTAAGAGTCGTAGGCACTTCCCCCAACCCCAAACCTACTAAAAGAATTTCACTTTTTTTTAATCCCATTGGCCTTTGTACACCCAACGATTTGTTGGATTTATTGTGAGATATTTCTCTACATACTCGATGTGAGCATCATTAAGGTAGGTAAGATGGGTTATTCATCTTTTATGCTCTGACTGCTTTGTTCCCTTTACCAACATATCTACATGTTTAATTGGTACAATAAATTGTTAAATTACCGAGGAGCACTTTTTAAGAAACTGATTACTCATTTGTCTCTATAAAACCATTCCTAGAAAGTTACCTCAAGATTGACACTTAGAATCATAGAATGTTGGAAATGGAAGGGATCAGCCAGCCCCCTCTCTGCCTTGGTGCTGGCATTTTACCAAGGAGAGCTCTAATTCTGAGAAAGCTGAAGGCAAACACCGTGTCCTCTGTTGCAGAGCAGCAGAGTCAGAAGGAAAGCCCATGTCTTCCAACTCCATGCTATTCCCTCTCCAGAGCTAAAGAGGTCAATTACACCAGAAGTCACTTGAATGAAATATCAGGCTGGATTTTAAGGAAGAAACAACTGTTTCTTAACACCACTACCAGCAAACTTGCTTGGCAAATACAGTTCTTATATACATAGGAAGAGAACATGAGCTCTTATAAAAATGGGCTTAGAAGGCAGTAAGCTGCCTCAAGGTCCTGAGAATGCCATCTCTGTGCCTTGAAAAGGAATTGAGGACTTCAAGGGAAATTAATGTGAATAAGACCCTGTGCTCTCTGTATTTTCCTTCCTTTTCCTCTACCTGGTCCCTGATGAAGATTATTTATCACAACAATGGGGATTGCTAATATAGTGAAATTTTGAGATTCTGGTATATGTTAATAACTTGAATTTAAAGAAAGGATTTCATTCCACCGATATTTATTGAGTGTTCTCTTATAAACCAGACATTCTCCTTGAGTCTGCTGAAAGGCAGGAGTCCCAATTTAACCCCTCCCTTTATGACCTTGAGTAAGTCACTTCACTATCATGAGCCTTGGTTTTCTCATCTGTAAAATTAAGAGTTTCCTTTGATGATCCTGAAGTTCAGTTTTACTTGTATCTTTTCATTATTCATTTAAGTTGAATGTGAATTTATAAATATCATTTAGATTCCTAGTCACTTGAGCTAGTTGCTGGGGATTTAAAGAGTAGCAGAACATGGCCCCTATCCTTTAGAATCTTGTAGCTAATTTGGAAGACAGATTTTATAGCTTTGGTAGAGAGATGGGAAAAATACTATGAGATCTTGGAGGAGGAAACATTTAACTTATCTTCATGCTTCAGAAAGGCAGTTGTTGATTGTCCTGAAACTAGAAGGAGTTGCAAAATGGATGTGAGAAATACAAGTCAAGGCAGAAGCAGCATGTAAAGGGCTATTCTAGACTACAGCATGACATCTGGTTGACTGCAGGTAATCCTCTGTGATGACAGATCTTGTCCACCTCCTGACTTCAGCATTACTGTTTCCTACCTCTAAGTAAATTGTTGGATCCAGCGAGGATGGGCTCTGAAAAGGAAGTGGAAAGCCACATGATATATGTAGTTTTAAAAAGTTTGAAATTTGTCAGGTGGAAACAGGAAACTACTAGTCCCATGACCTTCCCCTTTGGTTGGCCTTCAGGATACTGAGTCCACCTTGGGTGTAACTTATTAGCTCCACTGATGGGGGGGCGGGGGACACGACTCTTCATTATTCAGATTCCTTCATTCCCCCCTTTGTCTTTAGCAGAACCACTATTTTCTTTCCCTTTTCCTTTGTCACACTGATTCCTTTCATTTGGCCCACTGTTCCACCATTTCTTATCCAGCAATCTCCAATCTAGTCCATCAATATGTCATTTCAAAAAGAAAAAATATATATATTATATATATGTGTATGTGCCCTTTCCATTCTTGGCATGGAATTCTCCCCACCACTTTGTGAGATCTTAAAAAACTAATGATTCTGTCTTTCAGTCTATGGATTGAAAGATGACAAAACTTGTACTTTAAAGACTTGGTAAGGAGTTATTGTGGTCTAGGTATGAAATGAGGGCCTTACATGGAACAATGGCAGTGAAAATAAAGAAGAGGTAATACTATGGTGGGAGATTTGGGACATGAGTTGACAAGATCTGAAGTGGTTTGAATATTATTGAGATTGGGTAGGAGTCTTAGACCATCCAGATGACTGAGTGGAAAAATGAATCAGAAATGAAAGGGAAAAAAGATAATTGATGGACTTGAATTTCAGAAGGAAGAAAAGGATTGGAGCTAGAATGCATCAGGAGAGGTTAGCCTTGGACAGAAAGAAACCTTGTTCTCTGAGGCTGAGAAGAAAGTCTGATTGAGAGGAGTGGCTAATTCTACTGCTCCGATGTACCCCAGGCGCTGTTGTCCTAGTGGGTGTATGTATGGCTCCCTGAGGCAGCAACCTCCACTTCTACCCCTTCTCTGTCCCACCTTTGCGCAGGGACTTGCAGGCTTTTTTTTTTTTTTTTAACATTTATTTATTTATTTTAGAGAGGGGGAGAGAGAGAGCACATGGCGGGGTAGCGGCAGAGGAAGAGAGAGAATCCTCAAGCAGACTCCCCACTGAGCATGAAGCCCAACACGGGGCTCAATCCCAGGACCCTGAGAGCATGACCTGAGCCAAAATCAAGAGTTGGATGCTTAACCAACAGCCACCCAGGTGCCACTGGACTTGCAGGCTTCTTGAGCCCAATCTCATCTCGTTCACCTCAGACACAGTGGATACCCAAGACCTTGAGAGGAGAGCTTGGGAAGCTTGCCACCTTCCCTCATAATTACCTTCTCCACTGGTGATAAGTAAGGTAGTCCTGTCACTCCTGCAAACAGCCTGGTTTTCTTCAGATTCCTGAGGAGCGTGTGAGTAGTGCCCCTTCAGCTTCAGGCCTGAGGTGTTGGAAGTTCTGAAGGTTATCAGGTACTTCCCTGGCCCAGAGTTGAGCTGCTTGGCTTCACTTGGTTCTTAGTCATTTTGTGTGTATTCTGTCATTCAGCTTTTCAGGGTGTGGCCCGAAGGCTGGTGCCAGTCCACAGACTGCTGCTTGTTACCAGTCTGCAAAGACATAAGGAGAGAAACTAAGAGTGTTTAAAAATGTTATGTCCGTCAAATCTAATATTTTTTAAAATGGCATTGGTATTTTATACATCTGGGTTTTTATTTCTAGTAACTCTTTTTTATTGTATTTTGTAAAAATATCTGACAAAAGTGTGACATATTAGAAACTTTTTAAAATAAACTTGTCCTTCACCAGAGGTAGTTTGAGAAGTGTTGCTCCATCAACAGAACCCTGGAAGGAACCAGAGTCACTGTGAAGTTAACTAAATAAACGCCTGGATTCCTGTTAGATGCCAGGCATTGCTTGAGGCCTTGGGGATGCAAGGATCAAATATCTCTCTGTTCTTAAGGAATATATATCTTAGTGGGGAGAGACAGTTAAATAAGAAAGCAAATGAATAAATAAGAAAATGGGATAAGACATAAGTAGCACAAAGAAATTAAAACAAGAAGTGGTAGTTTCTGGGTGCCACTGTGGATTAGACAGTCAAGGAAATGCTTCTCTGAGGAGTAGCAATTTGGCTGAGACCTGAATGATAAGGAGCCAGGCGTGTGAAGATGTGGGAAAAGAACGTTCTGGGCAGAGGGGACAGCCAGTGCAAAGGCCCTAAGTTGGGATGGGTTTGATGTTGTCAAGGACCTGCAAGGTCACTGGGGCTGAGTGTGATACATAGGGAGGAGTGATTCAGGCTGAGGTTGGAGAAATGACAGGACCCAGTCTATAAAACCTTGCAGGCCAAGATGAAGCGTCTAGATTTTACTTGATGTCCATTGCAAAGCCTTTGGAGGGTTTCATGCCTGATGTGGTATATGTTTTAAAAGATCACCCTGGCTACTATGTAGAAAATTCATTGTGTTGGACAGCAAGTATGGAAGCAGAGAGACAAATTGGGAGGTTGGTACAGTTGGGACTACATGATGGCTGGGGCTTATAACCATAACTGTGCAAGGTGGAGAGAAGTGGGTAGATTCTGATACATTTTAGAGGTAGGACTTGGTGATGGATAAAATGTGAGGGAGAGAGGAGAGAATCAAAATGACTTCTAAGACTGGCTTCAGCAATTGGGTGGGTTCTGTGGCCATTTACTATAAGTGGGGACCCCTAGGGAAGAGCAGATATTGGTGGAGATTGTTGGGAGCAAGAGTTCCGTTGGGGCCTATTAAATTTTAAGTGCCTCCTAGACATCTAAGTGCAGATGTTAGGTAGAGATTTGGAGCCTGCAGGTGAGGAGAAACAGGGCTGGCTGTAAATATTTGGGAATACCTAAGGAGAGTATCATGGTTTGTGTATGTGTGCTATTTTCTTTTTTCCAGGAATGTTCAACTACTTAGTTTAGAACAAGAAAGGACATATGATTGATAGGACTAGGGAAAGATTTGAGATCGGAAGTATACTTTGGCTGAAAGGAAAAAAGAGGAAGAGTTGAGGGTGGTGATCTTGATAAAGCAGGTGTGATGGAAGAGGAAGAGCAAAAAGATCAGGAAGATGTTTTTTTGTTTTGTTTTGTTTTATTTTTTTTAAAGATTTTATTTATTTATTTGACAGAGAGAGACACAGTGAGAGAGGGAACACAAGCAGGAGGAGTGGGAGAGGGAGAAGCAGGCCTCCCGCTGAGCAGGGAGCCCGATGCGGGGCTCGATCCCAGGACCCTGGGATCATGACCTGAGCAGAAGGCAGGTGCTTAACGACTGAGCCACCCATGCGCCCCAAAATCAGGAAGATGTTTTTAAGGAGTAGGATATTAAGAGATTAATATTTCAAAAGCAGAGTGGTCCACATAGTGAAATGGCCCTGGTCATGGTTTTTGAGCGTGAAGAAATGAGACAGAGATCATGAGCACTATAAAGAAATTAAGAAATGTGAGGTTAGAGCAGTCAGCAAATTGTTCTCTTGAGTGTTGAGGTTGTCATAATAATGGTAGGAATGGGGTGGAAAGGACAACTCAGCAATGACCGTGAAATGACAGTGACAAAGAAAGATTCAGTAACTGGACAGCTTGAGCTTGAGTGAGTTGTGGGCAGGAGGGGAAGGATTTGGATAGAAGTAGCCAAGTAGATGAGAAAGGAAAGCTGTTCCAACAAAACTTGACTTAGATGACTCAGCTCCCTGCACTGTACTCTTCTTCTGTCCCCTTCTCACTTTGGTCAATGCCACCAGCCCCACAGTCCTTCCAGGGCATTTGTGCAAACAGTTGTCAGTTGAGGAGGAATTTGCTTAATGTTTTAGGAACTGGTAACATTCAAGGATGTCTCTGGGGGCTTCACTGAGGAGGAGCGGGGCTGCCGGGACCCCGCTCAGAGGAAGCTACACCGAGCTGTGATGCTGGAGAACAACAGCCAGTTGGTCTCCGTAGGTAAGAACATGAGCCTGGACACCTGCCCACTGGACTCTTTGTTTCTTCAATTTTAAATAGTAATGAGGCCCCAGGGATTGTGGGTTAGGAATCAAAAGTTTCCTTTTGGCACAAAGGATGTTTCTGATTATTTTAAGCAGCCAAAGAATTTGGCTTGTTAAGAATTGAAGAATGTAGCTTTACTGAGTCGTCTTAGAAACCATATCCCTTATAAAACCATCTCTTGGGACTGATTTTGCTTTCTGCACAGTTACCCAATCCCTCTGTTACCCAGAAGTAATCTCTCAGAGCAGGGTGAAGATCATTATATCATGGCGAATGAACTCCAAATAAATCAGCTAGGCACCATGGCAAATTAGAGGCTCAGGCTAATACATGGAAGAGGAGGAGTCCCTTTTGAAATATTCTGAGTTCTCTCTGAAGTTCTCTGGTTTGTGGAGAAAGCCAGGGCATCAAAAGGATACTTTGCACATACTGATATACCTTTGTCTCTTCACTTATTCCCCCTCTTCCTTTTCAGATGGTTGTGGTCTTTCCCATACACACTGACCTTCTTATTGGTACTCTTATCTTTTCCCACATTTTCCCCACATTGGCTTTGTACCATTTTTGCTTGGACTTTATTTTCATTAAATATCCCCACCCTACAGTATCTAGTTTCCATTGCTTCTTTTCTTCCCATTCAGGGATTCATCCATCTCCCCTTCTGAATATCAGACAATACTTGTGATGAGACAAAATTTCATACCATAGAGAAAGATATGAGTATAATTGACACAGTTTTTCTCAAAAACATTTTGACTGCTTGAATCAAAGAGCATTAAACATTTTTGATGTAATAATTCATTTTTAGGTATCGTAAGGAAATAATTAGTAACTTCAACTGAAAATTGTGGAAAAAGATAAGTCATTGTAGAATTATTTAAAATAGTGAAAAAAATTACTCATCAAATGTGTCACAGGGTGTTGGTTATACAATTATAGTGGAATATACAAGAGAAAAATATGTACCCATTAAAAAATATAATGATATGGGGTGCCTGGGTGGCTCAGTCAGCTGGGCATCTGCCTTCGGCTCAGGTCATGATCCCAGGGTCCTGGGATCGAGCCCCACATCAGGCTCCCTGCTCAGCAGGGAGCCTGCTTCTCCCTCTCCTTCTGCTTGTGCTCTCTTTCTCTGTCAAATAAATAAATAAAATCTTTAAAAAAAAATGATAAAGAATTTTTAATTAGATGTAAGATACATATATACCTACTAGATTAAACCATGTGAAATTGCCATATTGTAGTAAAAACGGACATTGTACAAAAACCACCAAAAAGAAGTAGCCTGTAATGGTGGCTTTCAGGGCTTTTTCCTGCCTCTGTCCACATGGTTCTTTCATAACTGTGGCTCTCGAACCATTGTTTTCAGCTACACCTGGGAGGTAAGACAAGCACCAGAGTGAATTGGTCCCTGTAAGTAGTCAGAGTCCTGTGTTTCCATTTTCTTTATGTAAACCTAATGCCTGTGCTCTTTGTACCAGAATTGTTCAGCTGGAGGTCACTATTAAACTTTTGTCCCTTTCAGAGCTTTTCCTTTTTTAATTTTTCTTCAAGATTTACTATTACCAATTCTTCTGATGGCTTTGATAGTGTTCACCTTAACCTTCAAACTTTTTGACATGTATGAAGTCATTGTTTTCTTGTTTCCTCTGGCCTTTCTCCTGTTCCTTTTCTCTGCATGTTCACTGGCTTCTCTGTCTTTCCTCTAACTTTGGAGATCTTAAAAGGCCCTTTGCCTTTAGATCACCATCTATCAATGTTTCTCCACTTTTTTTTTTTGTTATCTCCCCCTTGGTGTCAGTAGTACCCCTGTTGAGAATGTACACTGTATCTGTACACTTGTCTGCCTCCCTCGAAGAGCTGGCACACACATAAATGGCCTCAGCTGTCCTTTCTACTGTGATAACCCTAATGTCTTTATTTCCTATCCTCATATGAAACTCTATTCCCATGTACTTTCTTGGCTATGGGCTATCTACCCTTGAATATCCAGTGTCACTTCACATTCAGTGTATTGAGAATTTTCTAAGTTACTTTGCTTTTTAACTTCTCATATTCCCACTTTTGTCAGTATGAACATTCTACCAGCCCCCTAGGTTAGAAATAAGCCGTTACTAAGTTTGTCCCTCGCCATCCCCAGCATCTGTAATCCTCTCACCAATTCTTTTTTGACTTTAAGTTCTTTTAAATTTATTAACACTTAAGTCCCACAGACAGCACTCTAAAATAGGTCCACTTCATGCTAACAATGGTAACAATGAGACAGATCGTTGACATCATTCTTCAGGCTCAAGGTAGATGTTGTGAGTAGACTTATCTCCCCTAATATATCATTTATCTTGTCACTCTTTGCATAAAAACCTGGAATTACCTTTAGTAGCTGGTTTAGAGCCTCAAAACTCCCTGCTTGGCTTTCTCTGGAATCTTTGATGGTTATGATACTCTGGTTCCTGATTAACTTTGTCCTTTAAGATTTTATTTGAAGTCTAGTGTGAAACTTTTGACCATTCCTTCTCAGAGCTTTCAATTTATATCTCACAGTCTCATCAGACCTGATTGGGTATTTTTTTTTTTTTGTATGCTTTTATATTAACCATTGGATCTGCAAGTCTGATTTATTTTCCTTGTTTCCAGCCAAGTTTAGCCATTGGATCTGCAAGTCTGATTTATTTTCCTTGTTTCCAGCCAAGTTTCTGGAGGGAAGGCAATGTATTTAATACTTCCTGTGCTGGGTATACATAGTCAAGATTTAAAATTTGACTACTATGGAGTTTAGCAAAGAAGAAATGTGTCTTACAGTCTTGTAAAAGAGGCATTAAGTAAACACAATATATTATTATAAATTGCTAAGTCCTGTGAAAGATAGAATAGTGTGCCCTGAGAATACGAAGGCATGGGATGGGACAAGAGTGATAATATTATGTATTGTTTAAAGTTTCAGGGAGGGGTGCCTGAGTGGCTCAGTTGGTTAAACAACTGCCTTCGGCTCAGGTCATGATCCTGGAATCCCAGGATTGAGTCCCAGGATCGAGTCCCACATCAGGCTCCCTGCTCAGCAGGGAATCTGTTTCTCCCTCTGACCCTGCCCCCCTCTCATGCTCTCTCTCTCTCATTCTCTCTCTGAAATAAATAAATAAAACCTTTAAAAAAAAAAAAAGAAAGTTTCAGGGAAAGCCTCTGACATGACATTTCAACTGAGATCTAAAGGCTTAATAGGCATGAAACAGGTGACTGATTAGGGTAAGAATATTCCAAGCAGAGAGAATAGTACAAAGGAAAATCTGAAATCTGGAAGGAGCGTGGTGAGAATACAGGGAGCACCTGGGAAAAACAGAGGCGGGAGATATGGTGGGCAGGGCTTAGCTCATTTGTGGCATTGAAGGCACTGGTAAAAAGTGTGAATTCACGCTAAGTTCAGTGGGAAGCCAGTGGACAACAGGGTGGTATGATCCGATTTACCCACTATCAATGGGATTGCTGTGTAGAAAGTGGTTTGCAGTGGGGCAAAAATGAAGTAGGATGTGCTTCCGGTTTCAAGCTTGGCGCTAGGTTTCCATTTTTGTTTTTTTTAAGATTTTATTTATTTATTTGACAGGGACACAGCGAGAGAGGGAATACATGCAGGGGGAGTGGGAGAGGGAGAAGCAGGCTTCCCGCGGAGCAGGGAGCCCGATGCGGGGCTCGATCCCTGAGCCACCCAGGTGCCCCTAGGTTTTCATTTTTAATTGATAATTGAACGTGGTTGTCCAACATTTTATAATGCAGGTAAGATATAAAAATTTAAAAGAATCAACACAGAAGTATTGTGAAATGATATCACTAATAATAGTTTGTGTATCTTTTTTTTTTTTTAAAGATTTTTATTTATTTATTCATGAGAGATAGAGAGAGAGAGGCAGAGGCAGAGGGAGAAGC